TTCAAAAACTTGGTCTTCAAAGTCTTGATCCAGTTTATTAGAACCTAGTCTTTAGAGTTTGATGACACATATTAGAGTTGTTTGAGTATAGGGCTTTAGAGCATTACAGCTTTAGAAGCTTCAAATTAATAAAGCTTTGGATGAGCAGATATCAGAAGCATTGAGTATAGAATCCCGAGCTTGATAAACTTATAAACACACATCCCAAAGTCAGAGTGCATTAGTTTCAAAATTTAATGACATCACACATTATTTAATGAGAGTCAGAACTTGTGTCTAGTATCTGCACATTGAAGAAAAGAATTAATGTACAACATTGTTCTCTAAGAGCCTATGTACTGTTATCATCAAAACATAAGTCTATACGCATAACCAAGTCTTGTTCTTACAATCTTCCCCTTTTTGATGATGACAAAACCATAAATTTTGATGAAATTTTTTACTTGGTTTTATCATAAAAAGGTATCAGAGCGAGGTTTGTAAGCTCCCCCAGAATTTTATACTATTAAAATTATTTTTCAACTTAAAACTTCAGAGTTAGGTTTAAGACTTAAAGGAATTTTAACACAAAATATATTTCAATGTAATGAAAGAAATAACTTCTCTGAACGAGAAAGCTTAGTTGAAATATCTTCATATCTATCTTGACTTCATGTATCAGAAATTCTGGTTATCAACAATGTGTCTTACTTTAGAGCCATGTATGAGAACTAGATTAGAAACTGGCTTGAATCAGAACTTGGATTAGGAACCATAAATTCCTTGGTTAACGCCTTTTGACTATGAAGTTCTAGAACTTATGCAAGTTCTTAACTTCTGAATAACCTGGTTAACTTGATTGTAAAAAATTTAGCAATAATGGTGAACTTATTCAAGGTTCCCAGATTGATCAGAGTCAGAAAATATAGAAGCATCAAAGATAGAAGTTTGGGATTCAAAAGCATCAAATTCAGGTTCTTTTTCTATGTCAGAAGATATATGGATGGTTTGGTCAGATGAATCAAGGGTTGAAGGTTCATTGTTTCTGAGGCGTTCCTAGGACATATCAATGACTGATTCTTCATTGTGGTTAGGTTAAGGGGTGGAGTTGGTGGTGCCGATGTGTCTTCTGGAAAGGCATGGACTTCACGGATAGTGATATTGAATGAAGGGGGAGTTGAATGGATTGTATCAGAAGAGGAGTCTTCTGGTTGATTTCGTTGGTGTTCTGTTGGGACTGTTTCAGCACTTGATAGTTGTGTTGATTCAAATGGTTGTTCAGTTGTTATAGTGGGGGTTGTTCAAGAGTGGGATTTTGTTCAGATGTAGTTTTTTTAGTTGGTGGTTTAGTTGTTGTTGTAGTTCCATATGTTATTGGTACATAACTAATGATTGTTTTAGATAGTGTTGGTATAGTAGTAGTGGTTGTTTAAGATATTATTGGTATTGAAGTGGTGATTTTTTCAGATACAATTGGTTGTTTTTTAGTGGTTGTTGAAATGGTTCCAAAAGGAATTTAAATGGATGGTGTTAGAATGGGTTGGAGAGGAGTAGATGAAGTATAAAAAGCAGAATGAGCAGAATTAAAGGGAGTCTTAGCAAGGGGAGACTTACCATGAGGTCTGGTCTGAGGTGTAGACACTGAAGCTGGCCTAACACTCTCAGAACCAACAACTACTGCTTCTGGTCCCATAGTATTCTTCAAGATGTAAGAAGTTTTGGCAATCTTGGTTAGAGGCTGAGCAGTTCTAGAAGGTCCATCTCCAATTGACTTGGACTTCCTATTTCTCTTGAGAGAGTAGACGTCAAGAGTTTTTTATGGAAGCTTTTCAAAGGAATAAGCTACAGGAGTTACAGATGTTGCCAAACAGTCAGCAATATAAGATTCCAAAACATCTTAAGGATCTCCCTTGGTGAAGAGAAGGTAGTCCTTAATAGGAATCCTTCTAGAAGCAACAATCTTCCTATCCAGAATTTCTAAAGGGTCAGTAACAACTGCGATCAATGACATATTCCTCAGATTCCTTCCATTGGAGGTATTTCCAACTTCAAATTCAACTTCTTTTGTCAAACCAACCTCCATCAGGGTTTGAACTAGCTTGCTCTCAAAAATAGTATCTGAAATTAATCTTCCTAGAGGTATCCACTTTCTGGATTTAGGAGTTTCATTTCTTGCTTCCTTGACCAATTTCCTCAGATACTTGAATAGTATAGAAGGTAAATTCATCTTAACTCTAGATGAGAGATAGGTCAGCATGTTCTTCTAATCGGGGTTGATGTAGTCAGAAAATTTTGTTAAGGGTCTATGATGAATACAACCCAGAAGAATCTTGAACCAAACTCTGAGATGGCTGTGTAGATTCTTTGCATTTAAGGGGTTCTTTCCATCTTAGAAAATAACTTCAACAATTTCATCCATCATGGCCTTCTTACCAGACATTTCAAAGCACCTCATCCCATAACTATCATGATTGAAAAGTTTAGCTATTGACTTCTTATAAATGGTGATCTTGTGCCCTAACACGAAAGAGGTATTTTGAGGATTTGTAGTTTTGGAAAAAATCCAAAATTATTTCACTAACTCAGGGTAAATAGGTCCTTTGAGACGATAAAAAAAATCATTCTCAGCCCTGAGACTTAACTTCTTCAGTAAGATCAAACCCATTTGCTTTGAGGTTTTCAAAATCGACAAGCAGTTCACAGAGAACTTCTAACTGTGTAATATGAGTAGAAAGAATGAGTTCTTGAATTCCTTCCTTCACTTTCTCTTGTTGTTGAGTGGATTGTTGTTCTTGAGTAGACTTTTGTTGTTGTTGAGCTTATTGTTGAGATTCAGCCATGATTATGAACAAGGTTTTAGGGTTGCAGAGAGAATTCGGTTTGAAAGAGAGAAAATGTAGGATATAAGTAGCGTAAGTGTGTGAAGTGCGAGTGAAATGGATTTTATAAGGGTTTTGCAATCATGACAAAATTTTGAACAATGCAATAAATCTGACAAAGGGGAAGACACATAGAGATTTTACTTATTCCAAAGAAATCTCTTCACCCAAAGCTTTAATCAGCCATTAGAAGCATTTCATTTTTTGAGACAACTGTCTTTAAAACTAATCCATTAACCAAGACTGATTGACATCTAATTAATGTAACAACTATTCATTATCCAGAAAATGGAACGTTTAACAAAGAGATTCTGACTAGATACTTATGAACTTTGAATTCATTCACACTTTAGAAGACTTGATGTTTAGAGTTAACAAATCTCAGAGTCTCATTAAATCATTATGAGAAAATAAAAATTTTGTGATAATAATCCTTTTGATTATGGACAAAAATCCATTTTCAAAATTTTCAGAATAAAAACGAATCTATCTTTGGCGAGGGGTTTTATAAAGAATGTTGATAGTCAGTATCAATAAATTTAAAATTTAAAATTCCCTTATGAATATAGTCACGAATAAAGTGATGTTTAATCTCAATATGTTTAGCTCTAAAATGTAAAATGAGATTCTTAAATAAACAAATAGCAGAAATATTATCACAGAGTAGGAATGTTACTCTCATATATGTGAAAATCTTCCAGCTAACTTTTCATCCAGAACATCTGAGTGTTGCATCCAGAAGTTGCAATGTATTCACCTTCTGTAGTTAATAGTGCTATAGTTGATTGTCTCTTGTTAGACCATGAGATCAAGTTGTCTCTCAGAAACTCATAGCTTCCAGAAGTGTTTTTTCTTTCAAATCCATCTTCAGGGTAATCAGCATCACAATAACCTACTAGCTTGTACTCTTTTGATTTTCTATAATAGAAGTCAAGGTTAATAGTACCTTTCGTATACCTAAAGACCCTCTTAACAGTCGCTAAGTGAGATTCTCTAGGATTTGATTGGAAGTGAGCACATAAACAAACACTAAATAAAATATCAAGTCTATAAACATTTAAGTATAAAAGAGAATCTATCATACTTCTGTATACCTTTTGGTCTACCTGAACGCTTACCTCATTCTTTTCAAGAATACATGTAGGATGCATTAGAAGTTTTTCTATCTTATATTCTGACATGTCAAACTTCTTTAGAAGTTCTTTAGGATATTTATTCTGATGGATATATGTTTCTTCTGGACTTTTATTAATCTAGATACCCGGAAAGAATTTGAGTTTTTCCATCAGACTCATATCAAATAATTTACATTTTTAAAATAATTTATTTTCATAAACTATTTTAGAAAATTATAATAATAAATTTTTAAGAAAAATATGATAAGTTGTTTTGATAATATTTTGTAACCAAGCCGTATCATAAAACTTATATCAATAAATAAATTTAAATAAGTGAATCTAAGTTCAAAATTTTATTAAAATTTTTATTTTGCGTTTTATGCTTAATATAAATACCTAATAATTTATATCGTCATACATTCAAAATGTTAGCGAAAATTATATCCAAAACTAAATTTGTCTCTTCCCCGTTGGAAGCATATAGAAATCGAGAAGGCTCTGTTTTTTCTACATCAACGCACGATTTTTGGCCTTTAAAAATCATCGATAAAAACTAAAGGAATATTCTCCTAAGGTAAACATCAAACAAAGAACAATAATTAGGCACCTTATAGTTTACTATTAGGTTTGAATATTACTCTCCTCTTTGTAACATCCCAAAACTAGTTAACTATTTATAAGAGACATTATTTGAAAATTGTTTCTAGTCAATGTTTAATTAACCTTGTGTTTAAGTATTGGTGTATTTTTTTTCTAGTCTAACACACGAGTGTACCATAATAGAGTTAAAAAAATGTTCAAAGCCGGCATGGTTGACTAAAGACCACACAGACAAAGACACCGACCCTATTACATAAGAAAACACCAGCCCTAGACTTTATCCAAGTCAAATATTCTCTCTTTTTCTATTATCTCATCATATATAAAACTCCACTTTCCTTTTTCATTCTCAAACCATTAACAACCACCAACACACTCAATATTCTCAATATAGATAGATCTTTCTCTTTATTTCTTTTCAACAATGGGAAATTCAGTCGTGACTCCATGTTTTCATCCTCAAAACAAAAAATTATCGTTGTCTTCGTCTTCAGCTAAGCTTATATTTTGGCAAGGTGCCACGAGATTCTTAAATGGAAACCACACCGCCAGGGAGATTTTCTTCGAGTTTCCAGATACGATGATTTGCCACGTGGACTCGTTTTTTATCGGTCACCCGATCCCTAGTTTAGACTCCGAAGACAAACTCGTCCCCGGCGAGGCCTATTTTGTTGTCCCTATCGATCTCTTTTCATGCAAAACTCTATCGGTTTCTTCACTGTTATCATTGAGATCACATGATAAGAGTAATAACAACAAGTCAAGGATCAAATTCGGAGAGTGTCCGTTTGAGTATTTGAAGGATTGTGATGGAAAGGTTTTGATAAAAGTTATGCCGGAGTTTATGATGAGGCTTGTTGATGGAGATAGATCAGGGAATGATGGTTGCATGAGTAGTAAAAGCAGTTTCCTTTGTAGTACTCCTGAGTTGAAAAAACATTATGAAATGCTTGTGAAATCTAAGGATCAGGTTTGGTCTCCTAAGCTTGAGACTATTTTGGAAAACAAGGTTAAGCTTAGAAAAGAAAGAAAAAAGACACAAACTGTGTCTGCTAGATAGAGTTTATATCTATATATGTAAGTATGCATGTATGTATAAAGTTGTAGAGTTAAATTATGTAAGCTTGAATTTAATTTTGGACACAGTTTTGATTAGTGAACTCTAGAATTTTTTCTGATCTGTTCATAATTATGTAGAAATTATACTTTGCAGAATTGTTAGAAGTTTGTTAGAAGTCAAATATATATATTTGCTGAATTGAAACTGAAAAGAAACTTGAATTTAATCGATTAAGATTTAGATAATATTGTTGGTGGTATTTTAGAGGTGGTATGTGAAAAAATATACTTTTGCAGAATTTAGAATAAGAAAATATTTTTAGGTCATTTTTTTATTGAGCTTCCACTAGTGGTAGTTATACTTTAAAATACTCTGATTTTATTGAATTCACCACACATTCTTTTTTCTCTTTTTTCTTGCTTACATACAACTTAACATTACAAAGCCTTTATATAAGCTTGAAGAAAACTGATAGAGAATACAATAAATTGGTAATCAAGATGAGGACTCTTTGGTTCTCTCAATCTTAATGATACAATTCTACCATAATTATAAGTAAAGACAATAATTATAATGTGATGATTCCGATTCTCTCATAATGCTTACTAAAGATAGTGGTGGTTACAACACATTAATTTTAACACTCCCGCTTAATATGTTGTTCTTTAACTCCCATTGCTTCTCTAAGTTGCTGAAATCTCCCTCTTGGTAGTGTTTTAGTAAAAATGTCTGCAAGCTGTTCTTATGAACTGCAAAAAGATAACTGCACATCTCCTTCTTCAATCACACTTCGAATGATGTGATATTTTATGTTAATGTGTCTGGTCCGACTATGAAAAACATGATTCTTTGCCATGGCAATAGCTGATTTGTTATCACAATGAAGCTGTAGACTCTTCTCTTGCTTCTCTCCAATGTCTTATAATATTCTTCTCAACCAAAGTGATTGTTGTGTAGTCAAACCAACTGCTAAATACTCAGCTTCAGTTGAAGATTGCGCCACAGTATCTTGCTTCTTTGAGCACCAAGAGATCACACCTGAACAAAGATTGAATACATAATCTAAAGTATTCTTCATATCATTAACACTTCCGACCCAATCACTATCACAATGGCCTTTACTTAAAGTTTTAAAATTTTCTCAAATATGATTCCATGCTCCATGGTTCCTATGACATACCTTAGAACTCTTTTTGTTGCCCCAATATGTAAATGACTTGGTTTACTCATGAATCTTTCGAGTAAACTAGTAGCAAACGTTATATAAGGCTTTGAAGTTGTAAGATAAAATAAGCTTCCAACCAAATTTCTAAACATGCTTGCATCTACTAGTCTTCCACCATCTTCCTTCTTTAATTTTTCATTCACCACTAAAGGAATATCAACAGGTTTGCAACCATACATGCCAAATTTTTTCAAAATACTTTCAGCATATCTCTTTTGACCAATAAAAACTCCATATTCATCTTGGTAAACGTCAATACCAAGAAAATGATACAGCAACCTGTTGCGGTGAAATTTGGATGTCAAGCTATTGATTAACTTGAATCTTAGTTCATTTGCAACCGTCTTTGATTTATCCGAAGGAAAGGTTAAAGAAAGAAAAAACCTATTTTGCATCGTAAACACAATGCGGGGAGAGATCTAAGGTTCGGGGGTTGGTTAAGCTTAGGGAAGGTATTAGCACCATAAACTTCTGTAGTACTCTACAGGAACCTCTTGTTTTAAGTGCTACTATTTGCTAATGTTATCTGCTTAAAGGTAGTGCTAAGGGTTAAAGGTAAAGAAAAGACCTAAGGGGTTAATCCTAAGTATACTCGCCAACATGTCGCATCTTGTGCCTACATATCCGGGTTAGGGGATGGAATCAGAGTATGCGTAGTTCCCCTCGAAAGGGAGGATGAGGAACTTCTTGACTGTGGTCAAGGTCCCTAGGGGAAATAAACGTTCGTAGGGAAGCGCTTATTCTGGAGTGCAGCGACTCCGATTTTCTACGTTATAAGGTTTAGTTAAAAGGGTGTAGATAAGTATTCCACGGCGGGAAACTTATATGGAGTACGGAGACTCCTGATCCTAAGGCTAGGATAAAGGGTGAATTATTGACTCGGCGGTCAAAAATGTGTAACTTTCCCTTCGGAGGGGAATACGGTGAAAAAAAAATAGTGACAATATAATTTGACATATAAGTAATGATGTTAGGACTGAATTATGGCTAAGTAGATTTTAACAATGGTGAAATTACTTAGAAATTAGAAGTTAAAAAAGGTTTGAATATTTTTGTGGGAAGCTTTACGTAATTAAGAAAATGTTAGAATTGGATTATAATTAAAAAAACAAATGCTAGACTAATTAATTCTTAAATTAAATAAAATAGCTAATTATTTATATTATTTTTGGTGAAATTTATGTTTAAGTTGAGAATGTGCTTAGAAATTAAATTAATTTGCAAAATAGTGCTTATTTATTTTATTTTATGATTTTTTTTGTGTGAATACTATAAATTAAGTCTAAGTTAAATAAGAGATGATTAGTTTTAATATTTTATTTAATTAAGTTAGATCTAAACTATGAGATTTTAATTAATTAAGTTGAGGATTAAAGAAAAGTTAAAAATGTTATTTAAATATAAGAAAAAAAAGGTTAGTTAGAGAAAGGTTTATTAAATTCTAACAAAGTTCTAGATTATTATTATTTTTTATTTAAAAGGTTGAATTAAATAGAAACATATTTTTTAGACTTTTAAATATCTTTATGGATTTTGGCTATAAAAAAAAAGGAACTTTAACTTATTAAATTGAACATTAACCTAAATATTTTTGTTTATTTATTATGGAAAGGATGAAATAAAATTAGAACTAAATTGAAACTTGTTAAATCACAAATTAACCTAAGACTAAATATTTTGATTATTTTAAATTTTATATAAAAGAGAAATCAAATTTAAAACTGAAATTAATTTTATTATTAAATTATTTTTTATTATTATTTTATTTTTAGGTTTTTTATGTATTATGAAAATAAAAATTTTATTATATATATATTTTTTTAGTTGTTATACGAGAAAGAAAATAAAAACCAAACTCTAAACTAATATTCATCATTTTTTTAATATTTTAAATTCAACTATTTGTTTTTAATTATTTAACATGATCCTTTTTTTTTAAAACTAAATTAAGTTAGTGGTTAGTAGTTATGTTAGTTAGTATTATTAATAAATAATATTACAACAGAATAAAACATAAAAACAAATAAATAAAAAATAATAATAATAATAATAATAATAATAAAAAAAAAATGATGGACAAAGGTTTGTAAACCCTAATCCATAGAGGCAGAAAACGGCGCTCTCTCCTTGAAACTTCTTTCTGCGAAAATTTTTACTCCCTCATTTCTCTTGCATGTCCGCCATGATACTTCTTCTTTCTTTTTCTCGCGAAGCCTTAAACAAAATCTAAACAGAAAACAAACACAGTTCAGGCAAATAAAAAAAACAGGGAAAATGAAGATTACGAGAGCGACGGCGGTGGTGCTCCCGTGCTTTGGCGAAGACGGTGACGGAAATGAAGAGTTTGCGGCGAAGCTCCAGAGGCAAACAACGATTCGTGGTGAAGTGAAATATAAGTTTTTTTTATTACTTCAGCTTTAGGATCTTTTGGTTGTTTCTATGAATTTCTGTATAGTTTTGTGAGTGTAGTGAATCTCTCCCTCTTGTGAATATTTCTCCTCCTTTTTATACACGAATTTCTCAACCGAATTGAAGGCAAAAATTAAAAGACTTTCCTTCTTAAATCAAACATGTCTGGAACATGTTTATGAGCTTTCAAATTCTGCTTTTGGAAAGGGTTTCATGACTGTGATTTTGTTTTGATGACAGTTGAAACATGTTTGGTCCGGTTTTAATAACTTGGATTTCTGTTTTGATGATGATGTTAATATCCTCTTCTTTTGTCCAGATTTGTTGTGATGCCGCTGTTAATTGCTGCCGGATCTACTGGATTTGATGTGGTGGATTTCCATTTTCGGACCCTTATTGATGATGATATTGTTTACTATTTTTGCTTCATTTGGATCTTAATGGTGGCTGTGATTTTTCGAATTTGATTGTCCTTTCCACCTACAGATTTTCGGATTTGATGCTGTCAGATTTTTCATTATTATCATGGTGATTCGGATTTGAAATTTATTATTATTATTTTTTGTAAAGAATTATCACTACTAATGAAAATCATTTGTTTTATACTATTGTAAAACTTTAAACATTATTATTATTTTTATTATTTTTTTTTATATGCAAATAATGAAAACCAATACAAAAGGTACGCTTTTGTTAAAAATAAATATCAAAATGAAAACAAATGTTAAAAGTGGAATAAAATTAACTTAAAATAAAAATGAGAACAATGTTTTTTTTTAAATGAAATAAAAATTATTTGATAATGACATGAGAATGAAACTAAAAATGAAATAGTGACGAAATTTTTTTTTTACTTTAAAAATGTAATAATGATTGACTTAAAAAATGAAATTAATTTTAAAAAATGAGATATGATTGATTAAAAAAAATGAAGAAATGAAATATGATTGATTTAACAATGAAATGAAATTAACTTAAAATATGAAATAAAAACAAAAATTGAAATGAAATTATTTTTGTTCTTTTGATTTTTAAAATGAAATGAAAAACACCACTAATATTCTATTATTTTTTTATTAATTCTCGAGTCATCCAATTTGTCCGACAAATCCCGTCTCCGACATAACTTCCAATTAAACCTTCCGGCAGTTCAAAGGAAACCTTATCCGAATAAATCTAAACTGTCTGATTAAACTCATACTTCAATCCTAACTTCAATCCAATAACTTGAAACGATTTAAATTTTTGAACAGCTCAAATCCTCCACAATCAAACCATTCCAACTACACCTTGGCCCCGACTCACATCAACAGTATCCAACGGCTCAAATTTCCTGACTACAGCTCAAAATTCGTAAATTGACGGT